CAGATGATCAACACAAGCACAGTTCATTAACTAATAATTTATTTTTTTTACCATTTAGATGAAAAAGTCAGTGGTTCATTGTCTCAGAGAAAAAATGTACAAGGAAGACTTTGATATAATAAAAATTACAAAGCAGAACTGAACTGATTGACGAACACTCCTTTTTTTCCCACAAGAATTTGTGTGTGTGTGTGTGTGTGTGTGAAAGCGCATTATCTCAAGGACACTAATGTATGAGAACATGGTGGGCTCATGTGTCAATTTCTATCTGTATTGCTAAAGCAAAGGCTCTAACCAGTTTTGTTCCATTCAAGTGAAAGTAATTTACAGTTGGGTGGTTTGTTGTCTGGAAACAACATGAAATGAAAATGAATACATTCTGAACAATATTCAAACCACATCTTCTGGTCATAATCACAAAAACATATGTTCCTGACTTCTACATCCATATAACATCTATAATAATCTGGTTTGTACATCCACACATGTGAGTCATCCGAGGCGACGCGTTACAAAGACAACAGTAGAGCCAGAGTCGGTTCAGTTCATATTTACAACATGAAAAATGCATCATGAATAATTCAACAGTCCAAATGTGGGGATACAAACGGTACACACAGGCATAATACTTCTTCAAACTCAGAGTCGCCATTCCAAATATGAGTTACTGTTCTTCTGTGGGTTCAGTTCGTGTGCATTTCACTTGTTTGCTCAGGGAGGTTAATTAAACACACAAAGACACATGCGTACACCTGTGAATGCTATAAAAGCTGCAGGACGGGGGAGAAAACGCCGTAAAAGCTCAGTTCCACTGCTAAGCTCCCAGGCTTGTTAATGTTAAACAACAGGACAGCTCTCCCTATGAGGCTCACTAAAAAGCTTTCATGAGAACAAACTAAATCTAACTTTCCAACATTCAGGGTGGGCACTTAAGAACAAGGAAGACTAGAAGCCAGTAGAGATAATTTTCTGCAGTTCTCCTTAAGAGAAAGCATTTAAGGAAACTTCTGTTTTACTTCCAATAAGATGTGCAGCCAGAACTCATGACAGTCCATCGTTTGTTTTAGGTGAAATGGAACATTGCAATTTTGTTCTGCTTTTTTGTAATGCATTAGAATTTGCCTTTTTTTAAATTAAAAAAATAATGATAAAAATGTATTTTTAAGGCAGAATATAATGAAGTTTTAGATTAGCTTTCAACCCATGTCATGTTCTTATTTCTAAAAACATTTATTTAACACACACCTGTGTGACTGTTTGCAATAATCATAAGTGAAAAATGTATGAACAATTAAAGGCTCACCTTATATGACTTTTTAAACAGCCTCAGTTTAATTCGTACTGGACTGACAAGCTAACGGCTAATTAACCTGGGATCAAAATCACAGCTGATTGCTTTTGTCTTTAAAAGTAAATCCCCAAATTAATTTTATTAACAATATTTTATAATCTTTATATTTCCGTATGTTTTGCATGAAAATTGTTATTTGCATAAATTTACATTGTTATTTCATATTTAAAAAAAAAAGTGGCAGCAGCTAGCTGTAGCACTAACAGTGCTGCCTGGAGTGCTTCAGCAGTTTTTCTGCTGGAATAACCATATACAGCAGTCCCTCGCTACTTCGCGGTTCGTTTATCGTGGACTCTCTCTATTGCAGTTTTTCAAAATAAGATTGGACATGACACACAGTTGGCTGATTGATGGATGAGCTGCACGATTGACATGAAAATTTTATTTAAAATAAATTATTTAAAATTATTTAGCATCTGCTGCCCCTTTGTGCAGCCCACACTGCTGCAGGATAAACTTTCTGCTGCAGCTGATCAGCTGATCAACTATTCACCAGCGGTGAAGTGGGCGTTGCCAAGAGCGCTTGCAGGTGGCAAAGAGCAGAGGAGGCAGGGAGCTGAAATCATGACATTCTGTGCTCATTAAGAACATTTAGAGTTTAGAAACATTGTTTACAGGGGTGTCAAACTCACTTACAAAAGGGGGCCAAATTAAAACATTTTTCAAACTAAGGGCCAATTTGAGGCTCAATGGGATTTACCTGTCTAAATACAGGTGAATGAATGAATGAAAATTTCAGACTCTATATTAACTCAAATCAGATACCCAGCATATCTTCTTGGTCACAGATTCCTCAACAAGAGTGTGATTGGTCTCATTTGATGTTCTCTGTTGTGCTTTCGACATCATAATCAAAGATTACTGAAAAAATTCAAGAGATAGAAGTATTTTACGTTTCGCATATCATCTTAGGGGCCAGATAAGATGTCAGCGAGGGCCACATTTGGCTCCCAGGCCTTGAGTTTGACACATGGTTTAGAATATTGCAAGAAAGTGTGAAGGGTTTGAAACACATTTTATATATACAGTATATATACAGTATATATATATATATATATA